GACACCCCAACCCTCGCCCCCATCACATAAATACTTGTTATCATAAATCCAAGGTTCCAATAACGTGCTTTTAGCTAATCTTTGATTTACTTAAAAACGTTTTTTTTATATATAATTTGTTCATAAACTTTTGTGGTCATACTTCTTGGCGACGGCCATATTGCCGTAAAAGAAAAACTGCATACCGCACAGTCCGTCCAGCTATCTGTGTTACCCTGCGGTAGAAAATTATTTAAATTACACCGTAAGCCCCAGGAGGAAACGGAAAATTGAGCCAGCTAACTTTCTGATTACTACCTCGAAAACTGATCGGTATATTTCGTGATGTCGTTCACTTATGTGGCTGCTTCATTCCTCTGGGTACTTATGTGACATTCTGCTTGTAATCTGTTATGTTCACTTTATGGGGTGACTACATTTGATGTTCATTTAAAATCTTTTTAGAATTAATGGCAACTCAGACAGTTGTGGGAAGTTATGGGAGCCATTCTCTATTTTTCTCTCCCCCCCCCCCACACACATGCATACGCACGCAAACGTGTATATCCATGTACACATAAACGCGCGCACACATACAGGCAGACACGTACAGAATGCAAAGTCCCTTCGTGTTCAACTTCCCATACCCCCAGTAGATTGCACTCAAGTCCATAGAAGTGCTTACAAAATGGGATATTTGCCCATACGAAATCATTAAAGCTGAAATAGTTCCGCAAAGCGCATATTATCATTTACAGAATGATCGCCATTCCTCCGCACGCCTTATAACGATCACCTGTCCTCGTGATTGAGTTCTGGATACGGCCTAATGTCCCTTTAAGTATGGGTTATATAAGAACGCTTTGATCCCCGGTGTTGATGGCACAAACAGGTGTTGTAAGAGTCGTGTCGGCGTTCATGTAATAGAGAGATACCTGTGATTGAAATGCCTGTTAGATCACACTGGCCCAGTGAAACCCCAATGATGGAGTTAAAATTAATGGCTGAATTGTCCTTCAGGTGTACTGAGTAGGCCTTGCCCATTATTAGCTGGACGCACCTGTTTGCTACGGCGTTATGTCACTCCTCAAAATGCTAATATCTGTTGTTAAATATGTTACAAACATTATCAGTATAACAAACGTACAATGATCAATAAAAATGATAATAATAAAAATTTATTTAAAGGGGGTAAAACATGTTTAGAGTATACACTTATTTTACATATGGCCCTCATCATCGATATGTGCTGAATTATTTGATTTCCGCCTCGTGTATACAACTTTTTGGTTTATTTCTGATATGAGTTTTGCTTTCAAAGTGACTCAGAAAACTGTGACTCGATAGCAACCGTTTTACATCGAACTTGTAATTTAGAATGTATTTCTCATATGTATGATTTTATGACGCTGTATTGTTCTGCGTACTTTCAGAAATTCCCCAAATGACATTTAAATATGCGATCAGTATAAGGTACTAAAAATCTCTCAATAATATTTAATTTTGATGAAGAGTTAATATAGAAAATGGTATACGCGTACGTACAGTTATCTTGGCTGCATTTTTGTGTTGTTTACGCATTCGTCCATGAGAAAATTACAGAACAAAAACTAACAAGTGTAGATTTATTTATGTCTTTGGCCGGCAATGAACTCTTGGACATCCTGGTACATGTAGTCGCATGGAAGCTGGCAAAATGACGGCAATCTTGGCTTTGCGGTTATGCAATGCATAGATATATATATACACAGTATCACTTCTCTGTTCATGTGTTTCAAATGTAAGCGAAGTGGCTTTTCAGAAAAGGTAAAATACATCTGTTTTTACTTTTCCAATGTGATACAATCACATCCGAATGCAGTTATCGGTGTTACTTTAGCGTAAACCAAATTAGAACAGATAAAAGAGTCGGTGTGTATCAAATCCAAAAGATATACTTTATAAGATCCACCAACACAAGGAAACTATTTATTGGTTGCCAAAGGTTAAGCATATTATAGAGTGTTTTATAATCTAGTTTACATGGATTATTTTTCGCATACAACATAAAATTAATATCATCCTTCCAAAATGAGATTCAGTCTATATCGATCTCACTTTGTTACCCTTTCCAAAGTTTCTCCATCACGCTCTAATGGCCGTTGAAATAATTTAACGTCTCGTTTGCTAAGACATTAGCGTCTGTATTAAGGCATTCTGTTTTAATTTTCCCTTTCTTTGAACCTGTCATCGGCTGGCAAACTATCGGTGTAAAAATACTAGTAGGGTGCGTTCCAGTAACGAGAAAAGCTAGCGGGACGTAAAAACAAGGAAACACGGGACTTGGCAAGCAATTTACCGAATTTTCTACCGTGCCGCTCTAGAACGTGACTGTTTCACCTTGGTTAAATTTGCGTGAGAATGTTTAGGAGAGAGGAGATTGTTTCTTGAGATGTGATTCAGTCTTTCCTCCGTATTATGTTCTTCAGTCATCGGAACTTGGCATGCTGGTATATAGGAACCCAAATAAACCATCCACATCTTTGGAAGTTATTAATCACACATAAACACACACACACACAAAAACATACCCATCGTTTCATGTACTTTCCTTATGTTGATTTCTTTTACAAGAAATTTGATATGTGATTTGAGATATAATTAAACATGGCAAATATAATTTAGTATTGCTAATATCAGTCGACATATACTTTAATTTTTTCGTCTTTCTGGTCAATTTCTGATCCGTCTCTCGTGATAGTCACGCTAACGAATACCAAGACAAATTCATCAAATAAGTTTCAGAAAAAGTTCCAGTTTCGCGTTACCCATTCCTAAGATTCAGCTGCCTTGACGATGAATTTTCCCGACATTTGATGTAAAACATGAAACTCTGGTTTCTAAAAATGAAAACCTGCGTTTGCTTAGAATACTTCTGATTCCGATTGAGACCCCACGGACCAAGAACACTAGGAACTGCTTGTTATGTTCAGTGTTTAGGAAGTTGAAGCAGACGTCGTCTTCAAATGGGACGACACACTGCGGCACAACGAATTCATTGTACATGGCAAGTGAAAACCAACACAGCATGCTGAGGAAATGATACGTTTATCCCCATCTGAAACCAGGCGAACACGAAATCTATTAGAGAAAAAAGATGAAATAATTCCCCTGTCTTGTAGTTGCCATCGAGTTTCATTGAATTGTGCTTGTTTAGTTCTACGTATAGGTTCTTCGGCCAGCGAAATGGGGTGATTCTCTAACTGGGTTATAACAGCCAGAGCGGGTGTACTTTGCAACGCGGTGGCACAAAAATATCCAAAATTCACACCAAAAGTATTCCGTTGCAAAGCATTTCGAGGGCATAATTATATCAAGCATAAATTTGTTAATTTATCCACGCTTAAGTATTAAAAGCCTCTTCTTACACCTGCTTTAGTATACTATGATACCAATAGCGCCCCAACCCTCCATATGTGCCCCACCCACTCTGTCGATGCCCCACCCCCCTTTGGCGCCCTCCCCCTCCATGCCCTCCCCGCCCTCGCCCCGCCAGCCACCCACCCATCCAGCGGGTCCCCCTCTCGCTCCAACACACACCTTCCCCAGCAAAAACTGCGCATTAAAACTGCTGTCGGGTATTAGTGTCAGGGGAGCGCTGAAAGAAAACTAATTTGTCGCCTCACCTCTCTCACCCCGATCACGTGCAATGAACCCTAAAGTTAGCTGTGGTTAATTTCCCTACTGGAACTCTTCAGGGGGAAATAGCCAGAGATCTACTGGTCAGGGAGAGAGAGAGAGAGAGAGAGAGAGAGAGAGAGAGATTAATCGTTTAAAGCCAAATTCCATCACTAATAAATTTTAAATTGCAAGCGTTTCAAAGCTGCTTTCCACAATCAATTTTCATGTGTATCACTGTACAAGTAAAAAGCCGCCCGTCCCAACCCTACCTCCTACATGTATCTCGCCCCTTTGTCTCTTACACCACTCACAACATATATCACACACATTCACGTCATTTAATAATGTTTCTCAGCTCTGTCACTTCCTCTGTAATAAGCAGTAGACCTGCAGTCGTGACCCGATACGTATACTTGCTCCCCTTCCCTTCAAGCAAACGCAATCAAGCTGAAAAAGTTTCAATATTGTCGGATTTATTGAGTTTGCTGAGTTTTTCACTTAACGCGGTTGATTTGCGCTAGCCTAGGGGTTCTACGGAAAGTATATGTTTACTTCCTACCATTATAATGTCGAGCAAATATATTAAAATTCTCACTAATACGAGGTGGCCGGAAAAGGAAACGCGCACAAATGATTTGTAAACCAATTATTTTCACTAGTCAATCGTTACGCGAAAAGGATGCCTATTAAAATATTTCCAGATAGGTTATGATATACAGTAGGGGCAATCATGTAGTTTATGTAAGCTTAAAACTTACAGGAATTAAACTATCACTACTCTTATTTTTTGTCTATGTGATATATATATATATCAAAACTGATCGTTACAAAAAGCGCTGTAGCTACCAATCTTTTGACATATAAAGCCCATACTTTCAGCCTTAACACGAAATTAGCTCGTCCTTCTCCTACGTTAAATATAGTGTGCATACGTATTTTAGTAACAGCGCTGTAATACACTGTAATACATACATTTGTCAGTGCTCATTAAGATTTGACTGCTGCACTTTTACGTTACATGCCATACCCGTGGTACTAAGACCTTCGTGCTTTAAACCAAAAATTTCACCGATATAAGCCTACTTATTGTAATATTAATAAGCGATACGCCTCTAACTGTCTTTTCCTTTCTTTTTTTTACCTTAGGCTGTCTACAAATTCGGGAAGATTGCATGCAAATGCCACGGTGTCTCCGGCTCGTGCAGTTTGAAGACCTGCTGGCAACAACTCCCGCCATTCCGCGAAGTAGGCGAGCGCCTTAAAGACAAATACGACGGCGCTACGGAGGTGCATTTCAACCGGCAGGGGACGCGGTTAGACAGGGCGAACAAACTCTACAACAAGCCCACAAAAGACGACTTAATTTACTTAGACAGGTCTCCGGACTATTGTGAGCCGGACCCTAAGACGGGTTCCCTGGGCACACACGGCAGACAGTGCGACAGGCGGTCGGAGAGCACGCGGGGGTGCGCCCTTATGTGCTGCGGGCGGGGATTCAACTCGTTTAAAAAGAAAGTGAAGGAGAGATGTCACTGTAAGTTCCATTGGTGTTGTTACGTCAAGTGTGACACGTGTGAGAAGATAGTGGATGTGGAGGTGTGCAAGTAACTCGTCACTAACAGACGGTTGGAGGGGGGTGGAGGAAGAGAGATTAGAAATTCTGGGAAAAGGGTTGAAAAATATCCCCCTTCGTCAGAGAAATGTAAAAACACTCTACTCAACACAAGGGAAACTGAGGGTTCGCCGAGAAGTCGTTTCATCAGTGATAAATATATCACAGAGCTGGAAAACGGCGCCATTATTGTGAAAGTAGAAACTGTATCACACATGGCGACCAGCTTCCTGCAATCTGAATACTCATACTGGACAGACGATGTCTTCACCGCCCAGAGAACATGGGAATCATCTGAGTGATGACAAGTGATTCTTTGATATTCTTTTGCCAGGGGTTAGCACGAGCATGAATTTTTATCTATTTGAAGCCTAATAGGTGTGGAAACAGAGGTGAATTAAAGCTTCAAGCCACCGTTGGTGACGTATTTGTGACGTCATAGACGATAATGACGTCATTCTACGATGTTACAAAAATGGCGGAAAAAATGAAGGCTGTTGTGGAAGGCGTATATGGACCTTAACATTGTGAAAAGTGGCATGCATATCTCAAGCAGGATATATTTAAAAAATTCGCCAGCAGAATGAACTTGTTTCTTAAACATTATAATATAGTTGTACATATTTGTACTATAGATATTGCAGAAGCGGTAAGGGCGTTTAGATAAAATGTATATAATGCTGAATGTTTAAAAAATTCGATTTACAATTTTTTTATAAATAAGAGGAAGGAAAAATGCCAATAACGCAGGCGAAAAAAATCTTAAGAATGGTCTGAAGATGTGTATTGGAAGTCAAAGATATACACAACTTTATTAGCGTAATTTATGATATAACTTTATTATGTATAATTGAGAATATGCTAACATACCAATATAGGGATTAAGATTTCATTTCAGCTTCATAACAACTGGCATAATAATGTCGGTCTTATTTTACAAGTCACACTTTGTACTGCTATCTTTCACCCAAATTATCTTTACAATTGTCAATGTTACCGTGAACGTGTTACCTCAGTTCAATTTATTATGTTAAGTGCGCGGGTTGGCAAGGAAAGAACGTAAGATTATAAATGTTAGAAGTTTTTCTTGTAGCTACTAGCATGGGGCTTTGTGATAACATATAAGTTTACTGGTAAAATATTTCTCATCTTCATGTATAAACTACATAAATTTACTCATACCCCTGCAGCTTCGTAAGAGAAAAAAGAATATACTGATAACCACTAAATTATGGCAACTACGTGAAATTAAATAAGTAACAAACTTGGTCAACACAACTGCCCTGCTAAAAACCCAATATTACTAACCTATCATAGCCAAGAGGCTGAGTGTGTGCAAGAGAGAGAGAGAGAGAGAGAAACAGAGAAGGGAGAGAGAATAGAGAGAGAGAGAGAAAGAAATAGAGAAGAGAGAGAGAAGGAGAGAGAGAAAATTTTACGAGAGAGGAGACAGAGAAGAGAGGGAGGGGGAGAAAGAGTATGTGTATGTATGTATGTGTGTGAGAGAGAAAGCACCCAGGTATCAGCAAGCCCTCTAGGAACCTCCTCGTCAGTGAGCCCCGTAATGGCACCTTTCTCCCATCAATCACATCCACAATGACACTGTCGATTTTCACATTTGTCATCAACCACATCACACAGCAGACAGCTCTAGTGACAACCTCTCATGATCCACTGAACAAACTACTGGCAGAGTGAACACACGCTGAATACATGTGCGTGAGCGGGGTTTGTTTTTCGGGGTTATCCGGTGCATTTATTTTTCTTCAAGTTGTTTTTCAGAAAAGTCATGATTGACACATGATATTGTGTGGCCCCGGGCTGCTCTAACTCGCCGCCCGGGGCAATACCACCAGAGATGAATAGACGCTGATTTCGAACGCGAACGATTTCAAAAGAATATTCATAAAATGCATCCGTATAATAAATGTCAGCATTTTTGCAGTGAGACTGCTTTGGCGGAACGGATTATCGGACGTTTATCAACAGATCTGCAACCTTTGATCGCTATCGCATCTAACTGCCTGATTTCACGCAGAACAATACTCTTTCGGTTCACCTTCGATACTGTGTATACTCGTCACATTATTCCCCGATCCTTACGAGCCACAAGGTTCTCGATCAATAGCACGTCTTTAAAACTCTGAATAAGCCAAGTCCATGGTAGCGTATAATTTTCTTTCCGAATGTTGTAACTGTTATGTTGTTCTTACTAGAGAAATTGAGAAATGTTTCAACTTTCTCTATCTCGCTGTTTCTCTCTTTTTAACTTTGATTCGATGAAAATATATTACAAATAAACAGATATACTAGATTGTTCTAAGTTATTTTTTGCCTTTTTCCAATGTATACATTTACTCTCCACGTAGGAATACATGTACCATTTTTCTAAAAAATAAAAATGTATTGTTCAGTACTTTTTGAGAGAAGCTGACGCAATGAATCGATATCGAACTGATGTTGAAATTAATTCCGACAGAGGTCGCTATGCTGTAGATGCTGTCGTGTGATAATTATCAATTGAATGACTTATCATACATTGGTGTAATAAATCTTTTTCTACATGTTAGTTCAGTCTTGTTTTTCTTTCTTCGGACAAATTCATCTACTCACTATTTAAAAACACTAAAAATTGCGCAATTCCTATTCAGAATTTTAATTTTGAAAAATTCAGAGTTTTTAAAAAACAAATTACTTCATCTACTCATTATTAAAAAATACACTACAAAAATGTCGTAATATCTATTCAGAATTAAAACGTTTTCTCTTAATGTGATGTGACCTTGACAAGTATGTGTTAATTTTTTTTTCGCCGTCTGGTGGTCCTAAAACCATTGCTTCTGCCACCCACCACACCAGTCACATATTGATTGTAGTAGGAGAGACAGCTCTTAGCGATCCAGCACAATCGGCTGCGACAAAAGTCAAACTAAATGTGTTGAAGCCACCATAACCTCATCATTTTTATTTTTAACTGTCAATATATTTGACCATCTAGTAAGGAGGCTCAGGGTGAAACAATAAGCCCAATTTCAAACCATTGAAATCTATCAATGCAAAACCAGTAATAACAACGAGTAATAGGTATACATGGCAATAAGCTGAAAGCTCTCGATAGGGCACAGCCCGGCCTAGTACGATGCATCGAGTCCTTTGATAAAGAAATGGGCCATGGCTTGAGATTACACCATATGGTACGCCCACCTTCTACCATGGCTGCCTTGCCCTAGATCTTGACCCAATTAGGTCAGGTTAACCCTAACCATTTTAACTAAACAGAGGGCGGACTTTCTGTTACACGTACCCTCAGTTTTGTTACACCGGGATTATAAAAAAAATACAGCACATATGTTTATTTTAAGGTATTATAGGCAAAGACAGGGTTGCTAACATTACGCATTTATTTCCAGAATTGCTTATGTGTGTCAAGTTATTACAAGGACCATAGCTTTTGGACACATGTAAATACGTAAAGTTGATACCAGTGCAGAAAACTTTCAAATCTGATAGAGCTTCCTCCAGAAATAAGAAGACCCTTACTCCCTAAAATAAATAACGAAGTAGATAACCAAACAAACAAACAAACAAACAAATAAATAAATAAATAAATAAATAAATAAATAAATAAAAAGACACGCACTGGCCAAATGACCATCACCCCCCTCCCTTTTAGAAAATTTTTAAAAAATTGTGGAAATATTTTTGTTTTCCTTATTGACAGTTCTCTTTTACGCGTGAGCCTCACAGACATAGGCATCAACGGGTGCCCCATCCTCTGACGCGTACGCCCAAGTATACTTGTGTGAACGCCCAAAATATGGCCCAAACAGCATCAAGCGTTGGTTGGGGGTCGGTTTGGACCCGTAGGACCTGTCGAACCAATGGGCGTAGCCGTGTGTCAAGTAGCGCCCACTGTGTGCCCAATACCATCCAAGGCGCTGGTCATCTACTCGGCCACCAAGCCAAATACCTCTGTCGTATTTTGAACCTGGAACAAGAGAAAGTTTTTTCTTAGTTCGGGCACAATTTCCATTGACATCAAGCGATAGGTAAAGAGGTGTCAACTTGACCGTTTTCTAAATGCCTAGGTCGATTATTAAAGGCATGATTTAATTATTCATATGAATGATCCAAAACTGAATTTCGAAAACTTACCCATATGTTGAGCAAAATAAGCTATAAAAGCTTGTTCCCGCGATGACCCGATTTCTGCCAGGTACCCGTTCAGAGCGTTACAATGCCGCTGTGCCGCTGTCCACGTGATATGAGCACGGAAGTAACCATAGCAACTGTTTCTATATTTATTGTCAAGCCCAGGAGGACAAGGTTTCACTAAAATAAACCAAAAATAGATAGTAACGATAGAAATTAATTATCTATTCCTTTCTTGCATGTTTGTGATTCATTTGGTTATGCACATTATTTATTTATTTATTTATTTATTTATTTATTTATTTATTTATTTATTGCGAACAACTAAAAGTCTGCACTAAGGTAGATGTATCTCCATACAATACAGAATTCAGTTAATGGGAATTTACATGTATTTATCTGTACAGAATGCATCCTAAATAAGAATCCTTTTTTTTCATTCAGTAACGCAACAGCTAGCATATTATTTTTCTAAATTTCATAGTATTCCCTGTTTCAATAATAATAATAAAAATAATAATAATAATAATAATAATAATAATAATAATAATAATAATAATAATAATAGAAATATGGGATTCATACCCGTTGTTGCTGCTGCTGCTGTCATATTTGCTGTAGTTATGGTTGGTGCTGGTGTCTTTGCCATGATTGATGTCTGTATTGGCGTCCTATTTGTTGTAGCTGTTGTCGTCGTCTTTTTTACTGTAGTTGATGGCTTAGGTGTTGTTGGTGGAGTTGCCTTAGTTGTCTTTATTATAGTTGTTGACGTTGGTGTAGTTGTTGTCTTTACTGTAGTTGTTATCTTTCTTGGTGTTGGTATGTTCACTGTAGTTAACCTCTTTATTGTAGAAGTGTGTGGGTGGGTAAATCTACCGGTAGTTACAGTACTGTGCAGCTTTCCTTGCAGGAGACTTTGTTTGCACTGCATGTAAAGCTGTAAAAGAAACAAATATATATCAGTTTTACTAGAATAAAGTAATAATAATCATACAGACTGGACATTAACTATGGAATATTCTAGTTTAAAACACAGTTCAAATAAATTGCTTATTTCAAAAACGTGTATCTCATGTGAAATATGTGGGTAGAGAAATGTGTGCCCAGGTTCGCTAAACCATGTCTGAAGCACAGCAACTGGTACATTAGGTAATGTGTGGTGATTGCCTTGGGTAGTACTCTTTGGGATGGTCCAAGTGTAACTGTGGCAGAGCATGGCT